TGGTATTAGGCCATTGCTGGAGATCACAATGTCCCTAACAGTTACATTATTCAGTTTATACAAACTTTTTAACTGAACTGCTTGACCTTGATACTTCTTATTTTTTTCTGCACATACTGAGTTAATTTTTCCATAGTTCAGCACAGCGATGTCTATAATCTCAGCCACTGTAATATTATCGTCAATTAATATCAGGTCTGTTGTAAGTCACCAGATGGTCTGTTATAAATGACTGATTCCAGTATAATTCAATTCCATCTTTCTGGCAGAGTTACAACGTATCTATAATTACAGCTACAATGTAGCTATAACCTGGTCCTGGATTGCAGTAAAAAAACCTTCAGTCTTCTGAAGCTGGTGAAAAAACCTACTATCTAATGCTTTCAATCGGTCATTGTCGGTAATAAAGTTTGGCGCTGCTTCTTGAGAGGCTAATTGTAGAGCAGTTTGCTAACGATCGAGATTGCTGATTATCTTCTGGCATGGCACTTCACTTTGTTTAAAGTACTCTCTTATGTTCTTTTCTTGACTTAGGACATGCCATTTCAATATCTGTGATACCTCTCCTACCTTCCTTTCTTTGTAGGTAAAGCCTTGCCATAGATGCAGTCGTGTGATGCATTCTGGAACCCATCATACTTGTTCTTATTAACCTATCAAATTCCTGGAGTGACATTGCAAACTGTTTTAGAACTCCGAAGCTGTAAGATAAGAGGAATAACCCACATATTTACAGCTTTTATCATTAATCCTGAAGAAAGGTATGTTTTAAGGATAATATTTAGTATTTTTTGTACTGAATCTATCAATTTATATTTTGCATCCTTACTGGCTATTTTTAACTGCCGTGCTATCCCTAGATATTTATATATATCTTCTTTCTAATATAATATTCTTCATTGAACAAGTTTTCGGAATTATTTTGTTTTCCTTTTATAATGTGAAGAATTGCCCATTTCTCAATCCTAAGTGACATCTGTGTGTAGTCACTATAGTGGGTAACTGTTTTTAGCATAGATCTTAGCTGAGATTTATTCTTTTTGTAGAGTTTTAAATCATCCATATAAAAGTCATGGCTGATCATTGCACTTAATTCATTAAATTTTACTTTGTATCCGTTTTTTTCACGAATTAATAAAATTGATAACGGAGCCATTGCAAGACATATCCAAAGGGAGCTGAGACGGTCTCCCTGGTATATTACCTCTTGAAATGGTAATGTATTTAGCTGATTGCTTATCTCCCATTCTCAGTCTCATTTTCCAGTTGTTCATAAATTTTTTGAGATGTTCTTTAATATAAATATATAATGCATTTTTATATAGGCGACATTGGTCACTTACATCTGCTCTGCATATATATTTTTTGTAAGCACTAATGGGTACTACCTGGTTTTGTATTGCCAAAATATACCCTTCAGTTTCGGGAAATAAGTATCCTTTCTTAAGCCATTTCTTAGAGACCTCCCAGTTAATTCCTGATTGGGATAAAGCATTGTAAAAGCAATGCTATATAAAAATGCAATCGAGTCAATCCAGAATATTTCGTTTAGATGTCAAACATTGGCAGGTAAAGAATTCCTGATGAGACATAATAACTTGGCTAAGATTGTTCACCAAGCCTGGCCTAATTAAATAACTTGACAACAGATGAGGTTTCTTATTATCGATATGAGCCCAAGCCGGTGTTGTCAAAAGAAAATAGAATAATATATTTGGATCGGTCTACGATTACAGACCACAAGGTAGTAAATATAAACCGGACACAGTATTAATTGATCGGAAGATAAAAAGTGGCTATGTCATTAAAGTCGCGGTCCCAGCCGATGATAATATCGGAAAGACTATTTCTGAAAAGATTATTACCAAAATAAATCCTTCAGTTTCAGGAAATAAGTATCCTTTCTTAAGCCATTTATTATTAGAGACTTCCCAGTTAATGCCCTATTGAGATAAATCATTGTAAAAGCGACCATGTAGTTCTTTACTCTTCAAAATTTCGATCAGATTTTCTTCGTTAGGGACTTTTTTATATTCCATTTAAACTAAGTTTAAAGCAAGCTGTGTAGGCATTATCCAGCAATTCTATTGCTGACCATACAGGAAAGTTTGTTGGTTGGAAAGTGCACCTTAAATTATTTTTTTGCTCTCTAAACAGACAAGTCCCCTTCCTCCTTTTTTCCAAATACATCCTCTCAATTGAAGATTTGGGATGTCATTTCCTGACTCGAGGTAAAAAGAACTCTTACCAAACGATTCATTTCCTCCTACTCCTTTATTATTAGACCATTTTAGAATGCCAAACAAATAAGTCAACACTGGAATAGCCCATGTATTTATTGTTTTAATTAAATTAATAGGTGAGAGGTAGATTTTGAGTAGTATTTTTATTCTCTTCTTTATAATTATCTTTATTACTTTTCTTGAATTTTAAAAGTTGGCTGAAACCTAAATATTTGTAAGAATCAGAATTGTTTAATTCTTCTATTGTTTTATTGTTACTCAGTTCCGTGTCTCGTTTATTGATTACCTGACCTCTTTTAACATAAATTATAGTACACTTGTCTATTACCAAAGTCATGCCTATATCATTACTAAATGATTTTATCATTTCGATCATGTCCTCAAGTTCTTCTTTACTCTTGGTATACAATTTTAAATCGTCCATGTATAAAGCATGAGATAATCTGGTTCCATTTATATCGAGTATGTAACCCATTCCTGAAACATTTAACAATAATCTTAGCAGATTTAATGCCAGACAAAACAGTAATGGACTTAATGAGTCTCCTTGAAATATTCCTCTATTTATCGGTATACAAATATTGGAATGACTAAATTTAGGTAAGTGTAATTTCATCTTACAAGTCTTCATTAAACGTTCTAATAGCTCTACTATTTTAATGTCTATTTTGTATATGCTTAGTACCTATATTAGCCACTTGTGAGGAACTGAATTGTATGCCTTTTGGTAATTGATCCAAGCAATAGAAGCATTTCATTTTTTTTTTTTTTTCGATATCTGGGAAGCTATGAACGAATCTAATTCCAGCAGTTCCTTACATCCTTTGGCATTCTTCTTACATCCTAATCGCTCTTTTGTCAAGATGTTATACTTATTGGTATGGTCCGATATTTTACAACCGATCACAGACGTAAGCAATTCATAAACTCCATTTAGGCAGGTGATAGGCCTAAAATCTTTAGGTTCAAGAAGGTTCTTTGTAGAATTAGGGATTAAATATGTTATTCCTTTACATAAGTCTTCTGGTGAAATTATGGCATTGGCTAATAGTTTTCTGTAATAAGCGTCCAAAATGGAATGTATACTAGTAAAGTACTTGAACCAATAATTCTGGGTTTTGTCTGGATCAGGTGATTTCCAATCTTTCATTATTTTCACTGATTGTTTAACCTCTTGTTCTGTTAATGTTATTACATCCATTGGATAAACCAAGCCTGTATTTTTCCGAACCTTGTCCATCCAAGATCCATTAAAATTGTTTAGTTTCAGAGCTTCCCATATTTTAGACCAAAAATCTTCAGTTTCTTTTTCATTGATATATAACTCACCATGTTTGTGTTGGTGCATTAATGAATTGTAGAAGGTCTTCTGCTTTATGCCGATCAGATTTTGATGGAACATCCGATTCTGTATCTGTCTATTTTCAGCCTCTGTGTATCTTCTTAACCTAATAGCATATACAGCCAATTTCTGTCTATTATTGTCTAAATAAATGTTCAATTTATCTGGTAATTCTGACTTCTGTGCAGTTCCTAAATGGAGGACTATAATTTCATCAACTTTTCCCTTCAGTTTAAAGATTTGCTGCAGTGGCATTTTTTAAATAATTATTCACTATTCCGATTTCTTTGCGGATTGATTCAAATTTAGTTTTTAGTCTTCTTTGTCATGGTCGTAAATTTTTACTTGCTTCCTGTTTCTTCCTTTATTTTGGTGCTCCTGAAATTCTTTTATTATACCCAATTCGCTAGCCACTGATCTCGCTCCGACATATATCCAATGATGGATATCATTTATGTCCGAATCAGGCATTAAGTATTCTAACAAAACCTTATCCACTGCTTGTACTGTATCTAATGATTTTTTACCATATGGAACATTTGGAATTAATGGTCTATTTTCTAGTAGAATACCTTCAAATTTCAAGTTTTCTGTCATCAACAGCATTCCTATTCTATCAATATTATTTTGCCTATTTATTTTTTCCCTATTAATTTCAATTTCTTGTTCATTAGTTAAAACCCTCATTTTTTGCTGCTGTGTTACTACTTCTTGATGAAGAAGGGTCATGATTACTATCAATTTCCTTCTTTATTTCAGTTAATTCGCCATCCGAAAGAAACTTTCGTTCAAAGATTTGCTTAACTTGATCTGACAGTTTTTGTCTGGTTACTGAAATCTGAGGAAATATATCATTCCAATATCCAACAATCTTTTGTTTGTTCCTATATTTGTTGGCAAATAATGACATCAAGGTGCCGCTTGCACTGTCTGCCGATGAAGTGACTGTTGATTAAATCCCTCTTGTTGGGTGGGTTGGATTTTGAAACTTCTGCCAGATCCTAGGGAAGGTAGCTCTAAGATGTGTATTGTAGGTGTGCTTGTGTCAGTGTATTATGCTGCAGTGTTTTGTTATGCTGATAGGAAGCAGTATACTGAACATTTGGACCCGGGAATTCATTAAACTCCAGCAGTGGCGCACTTCACTGCCCCCTGCGGGTATTATTATTATTATTACGTAACTAACTGTAGCCCTAACTGTATGCTAAAAAAAGCTTAAACAAATCAAAATGCAGTGGCGTAATCTTAAAATAGAGATTATTTTTAAAAAGACAATGTCTTAAAAAATATATTATAAAATAGAAGTATATGAAAATTTTGTGTGTACGAAGTGTGTGGGTGTGTGTATGTTTGCCTATATAAACATATTATATGTATATATACATATATACTAATTCATTTGTTCTTTGTTCCAGTATTCAGAAATGCCTCATGAGATTGTTTATCCTCAGGGCTGTCGTCCTGTCACTGAGGATCTTGGAGCAGATGAACTTATTAGAAGATTAAAGGTCTGTACAAAAATTAAATAGAGTTGAAAAATAGTTATGAGACTTTTAAAGTTTACTGCTTTCTGAATATACTTAAAAATATTCTATATTAAGTTCTTCCTGTTCATGATGTTTGGTCTTGTTGGCTAAAATCAGTTAAAACTTTAGACCTGTTGTTAAATTTAAATATAAATATATGGTTTTTGAATTAATTATCTTAAATCTGTTTATACAGTAATCTTTCTTAGAATTTTGACAATCTGCTATGTCTTATGACTTTACTGGGTGTAATATAACTTTTGTGAAATTTGCTGGTGTTTAACTTATCGTTGAATAGAACATAAAAATTTGACTTATTTGTGTTCAAATTTCAACCAAAATGCACCCAGTTTGGGCAGCAAGACTTAGCGTTCATAGTTCTTGTTAAAAACTATCGGTAGCTTTTAATTTGTCCGTTGATTATGTATGTCATTGGCTCGTACTCTATAAATGGGATAAACATTTTTGAGTTATAAGTAATGGAGCTTTGGCCGTGTCCATTTATAAAACGGAATTATTGGGTTAGTTGAATGTCTTCCCACCACATATAGCCTAATAACCTGGTCATAAAAGGGGAAGTTTAAGTTGTATCAAACGGGGCGGGGATAGGTTTCTTTTTTTTTCCTTGTATGGGATGTGACTGAGATGCAAAATCCAAGTCAAAAGTTTTTGATCTCTGTGCCTTCCCCCCCCCCCTCATTCAGACCACTTTTGAATAATATCCCAAAAACTGTTATATCTTCACACTTTTTTTCGGTTTTTCCCCATTTTGACGAAGAAGAAGCACATTTTTGACAAAAACAATTTCTACATTTTTAATCTAAACTAAATATACTAAAATTTAAAACAAGCACAGATTTGGTAAATTTAATAATTTTAGAGATACAGTTTTTCAAAGTTTCGAAAATTTTCTGAATTATAATATTAAGCTATTTTTCATGTTTGATCATATGCAATTATCTTTATATCATCAATTATCTGTCTGATACGAGTCACTAAAGTAAATATTTATTCATTTTATATTTTGAAGGAGGGGTGAGGGAGGAGAGAAAGGTTTGGTGGGAGAGGGTGAGATCACTGGTCACAACTAGGCGACTGAAATTGAAATGCAAAATTTATTTAACAAACATTTACATCAAATGTATACTAAAATTGTTAATAAAGTAATGAAATTTTCGAAACTTGAAAATGTTAAGCTAATTTTCATGTTTATATCTTCATGTTCGATTGCCACCTGAATCGGTTAATTTTCATTTCTCGGCGCCGGCGAGGAAATGAATCTTGATATTCTCCCTCTGCTAAGTATGTAGCAGCAATCTCAAGGTAGCCATCAGGTGTTGCGTCTAGTCCCTCTAGTTTTGTGAACTAGTTCCCCCCACCATTACCAGAACCAACATGTCTGTTGCATTAATATTAGGGTTCTTTGAAAAGGTTTTACCCTGGAATATTCAACAAATAAATATTAACATTCCATTTTAGGAAGTCCAGGGCAATGAATTTGACACTGAAGGAGGCAAATTGATGGATTTGTTTGCCTCCTGGTCCCCTGGTTCATGAGGCCGATATATCGATCGTTGCTCAAATTTATGTTTATGTAGACCCACCCGTTGACGATTATTTGACGCATTTATTAGCAATAAAAATAACATTCTAAGTGAAAGAGGCCAATATATCGGTTCAAGGGAATGAGCAAAATGTTATAAAGATAACTGCAAAAAAAAAAAAAAAAAAAAAAAAAAAAAAAAAAAAAAAAAAAAAAAAAAAAAAAAAAATCAAACTCTACTAATCTTGATAAAAATAAGGTCGTGATGCCGATATGTATTGGTCTTTGGAATATTGGTATCTGTTCAAATTAGAGCACGCAGAGGACCATAAAAAATAAATAAATAATGGTTAAACTCTACCGATTCCGATAAAACAAGGTCGTAAGCCAATTTATCGGTCTTTGCTCAAATTTATATTTATGCCAATCCCCCTTCAAGTTTGGCAAATTTATTAGCAATAAAAATAATATTCAAAAGTAATTCAAGCTGATCTATCGGTTCTAGGAGATGATCAGAAAATTTGGAAGATGTTCACTCCAAGTCAAACTCTACTTATTTTCATAAAATAAAGTCCCAAGGCCAATTAAGAATCGGAATCTGAAATATCTCATGGCAGCACTACAATTAATGTGAGTCTGTGTGGTTGCAAACTCTTTACCTTGCATTATCTCAAAAATGGTATATTTTTGGGCTTTAAAATGTATAGGGCTTCCAAATCTCTTAGCAATACACTGACTTACGACTGTCCCAGTATTGAAGTCTAGCGAAATGTTTATATCGACTTTATTTACTTTATAAAGAACAACAAAATCATATTAGAGTATGATCCGCTAACTCGCTATGAAAAATGAATTCATGGCATTTTAGCATGAAAAGAGTTAATAATTGTTAAAAACCCGATTTGGAGCCTCAGTGAAATAATATATGTGGGTATATGGTATCCCAGATAAAAGTTATGGATTAGCTTTAAAAAAAAATTTTTTATTTATTAATCATAAGTTATTGTTTTACACTTATTTTTTTTTATAGACATTGGCTCATACACTACAAGCTATGGGTCAAGATGAGGGTATGTACCAACAATACATACCTCTAGCTATTCATCTGGCTGAAGATCATTTTTTACAGTACCCCAGCAGAGATGTACAATTATTAATAGCATGCTGCATAGCAGATGTCCTTAGGGTTTATGCTCCAGAGGCACCTTACAAGGATCAAGAGAAAGTCAAGGTAAGCTTCTTTTAATGCTTTGGTAGCTTTCTTCCTTGATTCTATAAAATGGTTTTCTATTTTTTTTTAATAAAACTTTTTCATTTAAACTGATCCTTTGTTAATGTTACTTTTCCTTGAGAATAGCCTAACATCCTCTGAACTGTTAGTGTAGGTTTTTATATAATTTTATTCTGAGTATTTTATTAAATAATGCTTTCACAAATTAAAAGACTATCCTGGATTGTGTCAAACTAATAACGTTTTAGATCTAGTATGGTACTATCCATAACATAAAAATTTATGAAAATAAATCCCAGAACAAAATAATGTTGGTTACTTATGTATCTTACAGGCTTCCTAATTATCCGTAAACTCCAATGATAACTAATTTTAATCTTTTCTTTTAGATCTAGTTTCTATTTAAACAAATTTATTTATTATTGTATTATAAATTAATTATATTACATACTAAATTACATTATATAAGTTGAGAATGTATATACAGAAAGTTAAAAATTGATTGTGATGAAATTGAAGAAATATTTTAATATTATAATAATATTTATATTATAATAATATTTTAATCTAATTAAAAAAAATTAATATAAAAGGAATGTTATAAAAATGTATATTTTTTTGGTGACCCTTGGCCAAAAATCAATGAAATAATAAAAACTCATTTTTTTATACATTAATTAATTTATTTTTTATTATGTAATTATAAGTTAGTTTATAATATGTATATATATATATATATATATATATATATATATATATATATATAGATATATCTTTCTTTTGTTTATAATGTAATTATAATGTTTATAATAATTTGTAACTAATGTCACAGTATTCCATAGAAATTTTTATGATACTATTAGGAAGTTTTTATCTACAGACATTTTTAAAGATAAACCCTTAGTTGGAAGGGTCCTAAGGCCATGATATTTATGGTCCTCCAGGGCTAATCTCAACACTAGGGATGGTATGCATAGTCGTTCCTTACACATTCCTGGCCCTCACTGAGAGCACCAAAGAATAAAAAATAAATTATACAGTAATGAAGAATATCTAAAGGAAGAAAGTAATTTCAATGTTGTTTGCTGTCCCAAGCAGGTTTTCAACAGTGATAAAGTAAATTTCCTCCTGTTCCTGAAAAGAGGAAAAGTTTTTACTTGTATGAATACAAAAAGTGTGTATAAAATAAAGCACTGGACAGCAAAGAAAGAGAGCTCTTACTGTGATTTTTACCTTTTTTTCTGCTGGTCATTACCAATTAATATCTATTTACTCCTTCCCACAGAAATCGTAATACCAATCTGAAAACTGGCGTGTTTGAGTAAAAATGGTGGATGAAGGCTGATTTTTTTTTTAACAGATCAACAGATTTTCATTCCTTTCCTGGATGAGAAAGATATCACAAAGCCCATCAAAGGATATAACATATCAATAATTTTTTTAACAAAAGAAAATATATATTAATTTCTTTTTTTTCCCAAAGCAATACCTATTCTACAATTACCAGATATATCTGTGTTTTCCTATCATGTAAGGAAGAATAAATGTAGTTGATGCAGGACAAATAAATTACTAAAGAGCTCATGGAAAAACTTTAGCGGTGTTTTTATTGGAGTATCCGACCAGCTATTTAAAAAAAATGAACTAAAACCTTTAGTTTATATTTATGTAAGTTTTTGGTAATCGATTTTTAGAAAATATTTAAACATTCCAATAAAAACAACAAAGGATGCAACCCTATACTTTCTACTTATTTCAGAGTTGGTACAGTTCCTAGTTATGTTTGATTTTGTCTTGGTGTACCCACCTACTTACTTACTTAGTAAACATGTCTGCACCATATCATTGAAATTTTTTTATGTTGAAGACTGTCAGAAAGTGGTACTTTAGAATTCCGAAAACTGGGAAGAAGTTGATAAAAACTAATGTTTATTTTTTATAATAAAATATTATTAATATTAATAAAAAACTAATTTTTATTTTTTTCAATAAAAAATTAAATTAAAAACTATGTTTCAACATTGTTAGATTTATCAAGCCCTGGAACTCATTAAATCTAGTTTCTAGAACATGCATAACCTTACCAAAGCTAACAACAATTTAGCAGGTTAGTTCAGAGGAGTTTGTCACTCAAGATTTTTACTGACTGATTACCACAATAACATGTTGAGCATTTATCACAAGTTGCCCTGATAGTTCTGATATACATATTTTATTCACCCTGACTGATCATGAACTTACATATTTTGGAGTTACAAGATTAGCCATCATTTTAAAAACACTTTTAATTCAATTGAATGTATGTTTTATTAGTTTAGGTAAAGTAGTGTATATGGATAATGGTCTAAATCACTAAGTTATTATATTTACTAGACAATAAAAATATTTGTTATGTTTTTTGTTTTAATAATATAAGTAAAGTAATTACTCTGACAAATTTAGGTGTGATATATATCTTTATTTATTTTTTCAGACTATTTTTCAATTTTTAATCAAACAACTTTCTGGTTTAAAAGACCCTAAAGACCCAGCATTCAAAAGATATTTCTACCTACTTGAAAATTTGGCTTATGTCAAATCTTTCAATATGTGTTTTGAATTAGAAGATTGTCAAGAAATTTTTTGTGGTCTATTTAGTCTTATGTTCAAAATAGTTAAGTAAGTAGTGATTGCATAAATTATTTAGACTTAAGCAAGTTAAGATACTTATATAATAGTTTCCATCTGTTTTACAGTGATGAACATTCTGGTAAAGTTAAGAGTTTTATGCTTGATGTTTTATGTCCCCTCATAACTGAGTCAGATATTGTTTCCAATGAACTCCTGAACATCATACTTATGAATGTTGTGGAACCAGCGAAGTCCCAAAGAAAAAATGCTTATCTTCTTGCTAAGGATCTTATAGTTAAGACAAGTGACACTCTTGAACCATATATTCAAGGGGTATGTTATACTATTATAAGTTATTATACTTTCATATTTATTGTCGAACATTTAATTTAAAAGTTCACTATCTTTTTGACAAACATTTTAAATATTATGCTAAAAATAATGATTCTCATTGACAGGATGTATTACTGATTTTTTTTCTATAACAAAAATAAATAAAGAAAGAAAATTAAAAAAAATTGTTTTAAGAAGATATATCTGTGTTTAGTCCAAAATAATCTCAGATCATTTGATAAAAAATCAACAATAAATACTTACCTGGAATGGGTAAACTGGGACTTACTGCATTCTGCACTTATTTGACCAAAAATTCCTCAGATAAAATATCTATCGAAGACGGCCAAGAAGTGAGCCCCACCTTCTTGATTGTTAAGAGAAACGATGAAGAAGATTTTAAAAGCTCTTTCCATTTTTTATTAATAAGTTTTTCACTGGGGTGGTTGGTGACATAAAAAATATTTAAAAATTTAGGGATGGTTTCTTATTAATTGAGATCTTTAGAGGTACCCCCAAATCAACTTTCCTAATAAAAACTTTGGAATAATAGGAATAAAAATTTTGGAGGTCAATTTCTCGTCGAAGTAACTTCACACAACACGTTTAATTACAACAAAGGGTTAATTAAAGTTATAGGAAATGGGTCATATTATAAATCATATTAGAATAAAAATTTTAAAAAATGGTAACGAAATAGCGACTCACAGCTATATTGTTACTTTTTCTATACCCGTCGCATCCAAAATGATTAAAGTAGGATATCAAATGGTCAACGTCCGGGCTTATGTGCCTAATCCGCTTAGATGTTTTTACTATTTAGGATTTAACCACATGACAAAACAGTATAGAAACCTACGAGTCTGTATTCAGTGTGGCAAGGTCCAACATACAGAAAATCCGAATTCCTAAACGACTTTAATTGTATTAACTGGAGGGGGAATAACACATCACGCGCTCGATCGCAGCTGTCCGATATTTCAGATGCAAAAGAAGATAGAAGTAATACAAATTAATAACAAAGAATCTTTAATAGAAGCGAACAAAATTTATAAAGATCGATACTCTAGGTTTCTAAATAATTCTTTTGCAGATATTGTGATAACAAAAATTTATAATATCGAGAAAATGGACATCGTCCCACAAGTTGATATCTCATTCTTATTTGGAGAAAATATATCTTTTTATAATAATAATAACGATAACAGCAATAACAATGATAAAACTAAAGATAACATAAGGATTTGCTATATATCAATAGCCTCTTCCTCTACAAAATCAACAGGGATAAATGAAAATAATTCGGAACGATCCCACCCGATCAGGAGCCAATGTGCCTCATTTCGGGCTCCCCACCTTTATCCTAGTCCCCCTCGTAGTGAAAAGTATCCCTCTGTTCAGAAGGAACAGGTCTTGGTACTGTGGTACACCTCTCCAATCCTCCACTCCTTCCCCCACTACTATCAGTCACAGTTCCGACACAGTGGGTACTATAATCCACCTGCTGTAACGGAATTATCAACAACCTCTTTTTAGATAACACGATTGCGCCTATGTCTATAGACAACGCGGACCAATTACTCGACAAAGATGGTTTTACTGAAGTCAAAGGAACTAAAAAAAACAATAAAAAAAAAAGATTAATTACAAATAAATATTTTACATTAACATACAATGCATCATTCATTATTATCTGTATCTGTGTATACCATGCATATATATTTTTTGGTGTATATTTGCGTATGGTCTTGGTGTATGTGTGTTTGGGTGTGCTGTGCATACGTGTATGCACAGATATATGTATACATCTATTTTTGTCTATATACCTGATTTGTATATTGATTATACTTTTATATAAGTCTAATGTGCATTGTATATATTTACCTTTTATTATTTTTATATCTCTTATCATTATCAAATTACTTATCTAACAGGTAATTTACATACTCTTTCTATTATTATTATATTTATTATCTAATCAGTTTTCTGTTTTTTACCTTCCATTATTAAATTTTTCTACTCTAACTTTAAGTGGAAAACATATTATTTCCACGATTAAATCCTTACTAATTTACACTTATTACTATATATTTTCATTCTTCTTTTATTATATTATTTTTATTACTGCTAATATTATTCTTGTTATTGATTATCCATTTATTTATTCACTATCTATTAGTACTAATATTTTATTCTTCTTTTATTTTTTCTACAATTACTCGGCTTTCTACAATTAGCAGCTGTGAATTTTGTTTTTCCAGTAATACCTTAAAATTACGAGAATTTCGTAGGACACTGTCATGTTTCTTCTTTGAAACTAATAACTAAACAGGCTTTTTTTTAAGAAGTCGAATGGGAGTAAACAAGCTTGGAGAATGCTCTAAATGAGTTATCAAGTATTAAATAAGATTAAAATATTTACAGTCCTTTGAAATCTTATATTTGATAAAACAGTCATATTTTTTTTATGCACCCTATTAAATATTGACAGGGGCTGTAAAACTATCACGAGTACGATCCTAGAAGTGGCTAATTAACCTCAATTACCTCAGGCCCACCAAGAAAACAACTTTTTCCTTGGTTTAGTGATGTCTGTAAAAATGCTGTTAAGGATTGCCGTAAAGCCTTCAGAAAGTTTAAAAAATAAATTAACTCTGAAAATTTAATAGAATATAAGAGACAGCATGCTATATGTAGGGAAATAAACAACCACTGTAAGACCGAATCATCGAAAAAATTTGTGAACTCCAGAAATTCCTCTGCAACATCAACCAAAATCCGTAAAATCATAAAAACTCCCGCTTCCTCCTGTTACACTATTTTAGTCAATGGACAACTATCTGACAACCCATTAACAGTTTCAAACGCATTTGCCAATTTTTTATCATAAATTTATAACCACGAAAGAAATAGTCTTTATCCCGAAGAAATAGATCTTGATAGAACAATGGAAGATGAATCCCTATGTTACAACCTCCCATTTTCAATGTGGAAATTCATAAATGTTCTAAGTACCGTTAAAGGTTTTACTCCTGGCTCTGACCATGTCCATTATGACATGATGAAAAACCTTCCCGGTAATACACTAGAGTGGTTACTTGGGTATTATAATCATGTCTGGTCTACTGGACATTTCCCACATAACTGGTGTGATTTGGTGGTAGTTCAAATTTTGAAAAACAGAAACGACAAACATTCAGCAACCAGCTATCGCCCTATATTTCTCACTAGTTGCTTAAGTAAAATAATGAAGCGGATGATTAACAGACGACTAATGTGGATAATAGAGAACAACAATATCATTCAACCTTTTCAGTCAGGATTCCGCAAGGGCCGCTCTACACTGGGCCAGAGCCCCTACCGTGCACCCCTCCCACATCCCTATAAATTATATACCGTTGTGTTTCTTGTAACTATTTATATAAAAAAAAATCCAGTATTCCCTCACAAAAAAGTGAGCGCATTGCTCCAAGATGGGGACGACTGACAACTTTGACCTGAGTTAGTCGTTACCTCATTTTCAAGATATATGAGAAAATCTAGAGGAAGTGACCTTTACGGCGCCCCCTACTATGTAGTGGAATGGGTAGAGGTGGGGACTTTTAGTATGTTTAACTCCTAAGTGTTCCTTACAAAGAACAAAAGTCAAATGCTGGTTCATCCTCCATGTACTCTACTTCCCCTTTTACTGGATGAACTAAGCATTTGTCTGTGATTGAATAATTAATGTTGGTCATGTTTTTTTCTATTTGCATGAAAAAAATTTTTAAATTGCATTATACTTTTATGCAATGTAGTTTGTACTGTTTATATTTATAGTTGTATATACCTTATGCTTAAAAATAACTTTACATTTCTTTTGTTTTTCTAGTTTTTTAACCATGTCCTCATAATGGGTAAGGAAGAAAAAGGACTAATGATCTATACCAAAGTTTATGATTTGATTTATGAGTTGAATAAAATTTGTCCTAGTGTGTTGCTTTCTGTCCTACCACAGCTTGAGGTAATATGTGATTTCTGGTCTCTTTTTTATGTGTGATACATATATATATATATATATATATATATATATATATATATATATATATATATATATATATATATATATATATATATATATATATATATAGAACTGGGTATCTACCAGTCTTGATTTTGGTTATATGTCAGAATTTTGTGTAGTCAAGAAAAGTTGGAAATCAATTTATTAATTTAGTCTTTTATCTTTCTTATACTTGACATAACAAACAAAATTTATGCATCATTAATTCTACAGCTATAGATATATGTGAAGTAGAAGAGTTGCACTTGTTTTCAGTATTCATTAATTTATTCAATTTTTTTATGCTAATGTTGCTCAAGAACTTGAAAAAGTGACACATGGGGTCAGCAATTGACATTCCTGACTTTCAAGTTCTTTATATCTTTTATATTTATTTATTTATATTGTAATGTACACCTTTATTGAAAGTGAGTAAAAAAGGGTTTAATAAATTAATATTGAACAATTAAAAGGCAAGCTAATGTAGTTCTACTAGTGCAGGGAAAAGCTACAGAGCAGAAAATGGCTGCTCTGTAGTTTCCCAAGAAGGAAAATCCCAAAGAGGAGAGGGACAAAGGTTTTTGTTTTGGCAAACAGTTGTTGTGTGACTGCAGTGAAGAGAGGTTAAGAGAAGATATCCTATCTGGCTCCAGTGGGTAAAACCCAGTAATAGTTTTACCATCTTAGAAGATCTTGTTTGGCAGGAAGAATAGTTGTTTGGAATTGCAAGAGAGAGGATTTCCCAGAGAGCTTGAGTTGAGTGGAAGAATAGTGTTACCATTTTGGGATATGTGTTTGGCAGAACATAAGAAAATGTGTGAAGACAAATGAGTTCAGTGCCAAAAGGAAGAAACATTGTATGTAGAAAAAAGGTTAGCTTGTCAATTCATACTTGACTTTATTTTAAAATCAATGTTTAATTTTAATATAAATAGTGTAAATAATAATAGTTTGTCTGAGTTGATCTGATTGTCAGTAACCCACACCCGAGATAAATAAATATATTAATACTCTTATAATTTTGTTTTTATTTAACAACCTCTTATTTCTTTTGGAAGTATCCTAAGTGATATACTTAGTGCTTTAATACCTAGTATAAAATGATCTTCTGAGGTTATATTATTATTATTATTTTAAAATATAAGAGGGATGTTACAATATATATATATATATATGTATTTACACACTTATATTGATGAGGGTTATGTGAATTTTATATTTTTTTTTCCTTAAGGTTAAACTTAAATCATCTATAGAAGAGGAGAGGCTTGGAGCCGTTTCTCTGTTAGCTAGAATGTTTAGTGAAAAAGATAGTAGCCTAGCTAAGTCCCATCCACAGCTTTGGCGGGCCTTCTTGGGCAGGTAAGTGATTGTAAGCGATAAGTAAGCCAATATATACTTTGATAAGTTATATTTCTAATTTTAATAAAACTAATTTTTAGTTAAAATCTGACTTTTATTCATGAGAGCACAACTTGGTACATGGACTACATAGATTGACTAGTACATGGATGATTCTCCCTAAAATGGACATTTTATGTCCAATGGCCCTGGTGTGACTTACATTATAATTTTTTTGCTGATCAAATTTTTATATGCCAATAAATGTTGTAAGCTACTACTTCATTACTTTTTAAATTTCTATCGATTATTATTTTAGTTCATTACTAAACAACCAATTCATTATTTCTTAGGCCTGTCCGAGATCTTGCTTTTTTATTTTCGACAGCCTTTTTTAAGGATAATGACAAACATAGTTAACTTTTGCATGAAAATGATTGTACCGTTATTTAATCTATTCTATGTATGAATTGGAAAACCCTCTTATTTAAAATGTTTATTTCTTTCACTAATTTTTTTCCTTGTCCCACAATTTGATCTTTATTCCTTTGTTAAAGCTTCAAATCTGTACTGGGCTCTAATTTAATTAAACTTTTATGTACTAGACTCACTGCTAGTTTCCACTTAAACTTACAGTTGCTCTGTAAATTCTGCTAAAACTTGCATATGTGTCATTAAATAAATCTGATAAGAAAAGGATAACAATGAAATCTTTAATTTATGATTAATTGACAAGGATTCAATGCAGACAGAATTCTTTTATGCTCTGATATGCAAGCAATGAAAACAATTTAAATTATGGATGTTTTGGAATGGATCATATTTTTACATAACTAAGCACTTGTGAAGGAAGTAATACTTTGTTCATAATGGAAGTATGCCAAGAGTCCCCTACCTTTTTTTACTTGAGGGTATCTTAATAGGTTAGCAGTCAAGTACAGGCATCCATTTGTGTTGTTCCTAGATTTTTCATTGTTTGATATTGTTTATTATAACCAAAAAGAATAATGTTAACACATGAAAAAGTACAGCTTATGTTCTTATATTAAACAGATTATTATTTAATAATACATTAAAAATGTATATAAAATATAAAATTTCTTAAAATAAGAAACAAAATCTTAAAATAAAATAAAAAATGATATTTGAACTAAAGTTCAATGTTAAGTGCTTGATAATAATTTGCAAAAAATGATAATCTGGCTATATAATAAGATATGGGCCTATCAGCACATAACTAATGATTAGATATATTGAATGCCTAATTAGCAACCTTGTAACTTATTTTTCATATTTGAAATATGAATGAATAATAATAATGGTGAATATTGACTGAAAATATTGTTAAATCACTGTTTTCCAATTAATTATTTATTATAAGTGTCTTACGGGAATCTTTCATGAGTCCAGCCTGATTTGAAGGCCTGAAACATTGGCAAATATAAAAATAAATATCTTGTATTTATTTTTAATTTTTTTTTTCTTTTTTTACTGAGCAACTCAACCAACTTCTCTTCAATATTTTATTTTATATTTATACAGATATTTTATTTTTTAAAAAACAACACTGCAAAATGCAGTTACTGGCTGGTTATCACTGTTAAAAGTTAGGATAGGCAGACATAATTTTGCCCAGGTGCACTGGATTGGGCATCCCTGAAGTACAATTTCATTAATTAAATTCTAACCGCTTAAAACCACAGAGTATTTGTCAGTTAAGACTTCTGGGAATATGTTTGAATTTTTTAGGTTTTTACTATATTTGATCAAGACTAGTTGCTTCAATATTCAACTTTACCCTAAATTTTGGTTTATTTTTGTGATGCTGAGGATTTAAAAAAATATTAACTGCAGCTCTATTAATACTCATTTTCATTATTAAATTTAGTTGGTCATCTTTCTTAAAATAAGAAATAAAATGCATTACAATTTTATGGATGTATATATATATAAAATAATAACGGTAGAAAAGGTTTTGAGTATGGGTTAATTTATTAAGTAGGTTTATCATTGCTTGTGTATAAAATTGTTGATACGAATTAATGAGAAAAATTAAAAAAAAAAGTAAATTTCAATAACCAAAATTAGTATGTATCATGAAGCAGATTCAATGATATTTTGTCTCTTATTTCATGCATCAAGAATTAAATCTTTCCTTGTCATTATACTCACTATAGTCTGGTGGCTTAAAGGAATTACCGTTACATCGCTGATAAAAGCACCAAATTTGGTGTGAAGGTACCTTAGGATACACTAATTAATGTTAGTATAGGAGCACCCTGAAATTTTTAAAAATTTCCTGGTATGACATTAAAATCCAAAATAGCCGCCAAAACAACCAAATGCCACTTTTAACACCATCTTATTTTTAATGTTAATTTTCAATTATAGCTTTAAACTCACTAAGTATACTAAAAACGTAACTTAGAGTAGTATAATTATTAAATAAAATATTTATATATGCTCTCCACAATGCAATCACAAGTATAATTTATTATAAGTATAGCATACTGAATTCCACTGAATGTATAGCAATAAATATTTTTGGTTTATTATTTTCAATAATTGACCTTTTTAATCAATGAAGAAACAAATTCTCAAAATTTGAGGTTTTACGTGCCATCTGTAAATTGGATTTTTAAAAATTCATTCGTCTGTGGCTTTGCGCCAAGACCATTGAACCAATGTTTTTGTTTGAGATTGTATAAAAACTTGGGGATGATCCTAGGAACACTACATTACCATTGCCGTTTTGTTTTAAAATGGCAGCTGAAATACCAGTGTTTCATAAGACAGTTCTTCAACAAGACTATACCACGATTTTGATGAAACTTGACATAGTTCTTCTCTTTAAATCCTTTTAAATTTATATATTTATATAAAGTAAAGAATGTGAGCCTGTTTAACATTGCACATTTGTTATCAATTCTTCTCCTCCATATTTTAAGAATTCTGCAACCAGTGTATCTTCCCAAGGTGCTTTGTTATTTTTTAATTTTTCAATCGCCTCAGCCACCTCTTCTATCGGCAATGGCTCCAGATCATCAATACAACTTTCCTCATCACTGCCAGCCATACATTTATTACTATTACAGTTAACCAGTTCTGTGTAGTGGCTCTTCCCATCTACCTGTAGCTTGGGAGCTCTTAACTACCACACATTTTTATCTTTGCATCCACTAATTTTTTTCTGAAAATCTTGACTCATACACTTTACTGCTTCATAAAATTTCCTTGCCTCATTTGTTGTTCTCAATTGCTCTATTTTTCTTTTCATAACATCCCGTTTCTTACTTCGAATAACAGTCTTTGCTTTTTTACTACTTCCTCTTTGTGCCGCAGAGGTTTGTCTTGTAGAGTGCTGCCGTATTACATTGATTCCTTTCATGCAGAGCCTCAAGGCATTCAGCATCAAACCACTTGTCATTTCTTTGCCTACTCTTCTCACCTATATCCTCCTCTGCTGATGTTTCAATAGCTTCTCTAATTCTCTCTCACTTTTTGTCCATACATTCCTCTCCTTTATCATCCCGACTGTCTATCCTATTTAATGATGTTCTAAATGTTTCAGCAATTTCAGGGTATTTCAGCTTATCAATCTCCCATCTTTTGGTACAGTGCCATTGAGCAGTTCTTACCATTACAAGGTGTTGTCTGAGCTTCAATTTTACCATCTGAGTCACAGTTTGGTCCTCTCGCTGCTTTGACATCAATAATTGAAGTTGCATTCTTTTTCTGAACCAATACATGATCAATTTGTGTTATTGTTCCATTTGGGGATATCCATGTTCCTAAATGTATATTTTTGTGTTGGAAAGTAGTGCTCCTTGTGACCATATTATTGGCTTCCGCAAACTGACAAAGGAGCTTTCCATTATCATTTGTTTCATTATGAATTGTGAATCGACCAGATACTTCGCTAACAAAGCTTTCTTTTTCTATTTGTGCATTAAAATCACCCAAAACAATTTTCACATCATAACTGTCGCCAAAAATGTCCTTTCAAGATTCTGATAAAAGTTGAGTTTAACCTCGTCCTCACTGTCTTCAGTTGGCGTATACACAGATATTAAGGTTTTTTTTGTTCTTCCTACATCGCCTTTTAGGCTATACGGGATTTTCCCGGGCCTTTGGGTGAGGAAAGAGAATTTAAAAATCCCCTCCGGCTCCGGGACGCGAACTCATACTTTTTCTAATCTCATAACTTCGGTTATCTGGTTGCCAGGCAACTCGCAGTGCTATGCACATTCCCCTGATATGGTACTACTTGGTGTATGTCGGTTTTATCAGATATTAAGGTTACAATCCTAAATCTTCCCCTCAGGTGGTTTTGCAAATCCTTGCATTAACCAGCTCAAATGATAATATACTTTGCCTTGCTTTAATCGTATTGTATAAGACAATAAGTAAAGCTACAACATCTATTTTATATTGTAATGTCTGCTCCGCTACTTCTGCCATCTTCCCAGGCTGGATCACCGTACTGACATTCCTTGTAGCGACGTTAAATCTAAATTAAAGTTCTATTGAATATTTAATAGTTGACCGTTGCATTATAAAGGAAGGAGATGGTCCGGGGTTGTGGTCATAAATAGGCTAAATAGTGGTAAAACTATTTTATTGAAAGCCGACGTTTCGACCAGACTTTGCAGGTCTTCTTCAGGGTGGTGTGTTCAGCTAGGAGTTTCACTTAGAACTGAACGTCGGCTTTCAATAAAATAGTTTTACCATTATTTAGCCTATTTATGACCGCAACCCCGGACCATATCCTTCCTTTATAATGCAAAAGTCAACTATTAAATATCCAATAAATTAATTTTAATGTTTTTTGTTCTAGTTTAGTTTACTTTATTTTATCTTGAGTACATTATTTTTCTATAAACTGTTATTAATTTTTTTTACTTTGTTTTTTGGGAAAAACTCATTAATTATATATATATATTTTTTTTTTTTTTTTCTTCAAAATTTAGGTTGTCATAATTTCACATGTGGTTAAACTGTGCAAGTGAGGAAGTACAAATTTTAAAATCCTTCTTGATTTACTATACGAACAGCCGTAATTTGTAATGAGATTAATGAATTCATGATACCATTGATTTTGGGGAATTCCAGCATACTCTTTTTTCAAAATACTATGCTAGGTTAAAGTGGCTTTTCCCTAATTGCCTCTACAAGTACTTTGTTGCCCCCTATATACCTCTTAATATTTAATTCTGATGCCTTATATATATTTTCCAAATCTAATTCGCAAAAAAAAAAACTTCAGAACACTAATAAATAATATACATTTGACTATAATTAACTAACAATGACTGTTAGGTGGCTAGAAATAAAAGAGTTAAGTTTAGTGACACTGTGCAACCTGTTTTGGCACTTGTGACTTAACATGGTTGTTTGTAGAAATTTGAGTAATAGAAGTGTTCTTCATTTAATATAGATAAAGTTATTAATAATTTTGAATTACACTGAGTTCTTTTAGTTGCAGAAGTTATTTCCTTTTACCTGAAGTTGTGAACATTTGAAAGTTATCCTCTTATTTATATTTTTATTAATTAGGTTTCCTCATGTGATTAGGAAAAATTTTGACTGCTAAAGAGTTGGAAATATTTAGCGTCAATTGTATCTACTCCATCTAGAACTGATAAAGTAAAACAAAATCTAAATTTAAAGCAAGGATATATTTAGTAATAATCTCAGGTTTTAGTATCATGTTTGTAGTAATGTATTGAAAAAATTAAATAAATTGTATATTAAGACAAAATATTTCAAGTGCTGGTCTGATTGATATTTAAAATAACTAATATGAATTACAATGCTTGATGGTAACACTTTAAAGACAAAGTAACTAAGCATGTTCATGTTCTTTGAAACTCACATTTTCAACAAACAAATTAATTACTAACAATTCATTAAATATTATTACATAATAAAACTTGTTTAAACATCTTTATGAACATGCATATAATTTACTAGAGAGAGATCTTTGGATTGAATTTCATCCAACTTAGAGAAACTATTAGCAGTTAATATATTATTCTATTTTAAATTTAAATTTAAGTTTTGATATAAGTTGATACTATTAACATTCTCCTCTTGATAAAAGGTTAATTGTTTTTAATTTTCCATTTTGTTATAGGTTTAATGACATTAATTTATTCATACGAATGAAATGTGTTCAATATTCTATGCACTTCTTGTTAAACCACCCAGAGCTGAGAGCAGATATTACAGAAACGCTGAAAATGAGACAGCATGATTCAGAAGAGAGTGTACGATATGAGGTAATTTCTTTTAAAGACTTATATTACACTGCCCTACAAAAAAATTTTTTTGCATGTATCTTCGATGAAAACTGTTTCTCTTGACTGATTTTGGTGTGAGAAACTCGAATTTTCTGTCAGAATCCTTATATTAGACACTGTTCTGCAGATACGTATACCCAGTATCTAATACAAAAAATTAAGTTATTTTAAGTTACATGATCATTTTTTAGGCTTTAAAAGTGCTATATTATTTGTGAAGTACTTTTATAACCCACAAAACATCAAATTACAACTACTCTCAGCAAGAACAGCGCTGTTTTACAGTTTATTTAGAATGTTTCTTCTTTGCTTGACAATTGTACTAATGTTTTGTCTAATCTCTCACAATGTTCCAACAGTAGTCTGCGAGCATTGAAGTATCCCATCGACCTTGATATCTTTGTTTCATCGAGGATATATCATGGTGAAATCTCTCACCATGTTCATCACTTACAGATCCACAATGTGCGGGAAAGAAGTCCAAATGAGAGTGAAGAAAGTGAATGTTGAGTGGCATGTTACAACTGAGATCTCTGTACTTCTCGTAGAGGGTTTGGACTAAGACAGCATAATTGTCCTTTCTTTTGTTAATTTTTCTTTACCCTGAAGAATATTAACAAATTTCCCGTCTTTAAGAAGTTGACGGATTGACGAACCATCAAATACACCCTCTTTAATTTTAGCTTCACTAAAGCGAAGAAATTTTCCTCTCAAGTACTTGAATGCCTCTCCTGATTGGTCCATTCCTTTGACAATATTTTTCATGAGCTCTAATTTTATATGTAATGGAGGCAAAATGATTTTTTTCAGGGCCCACAAGAGGGTTGCAGAGAATATTTTTTTGTCCAGGGGTCAGGACCTCTTTGAGGCCATTCTTTCCTGATGTAATGAGATGCTCTGTCCCGACTGTCCCACTCGCATAAGAAACAACAGTACTTAGTATATCCCTGTTGCATGCTTAGAAGAATTGCCACCACTTTCAAGTCCCCACAGATTTGTGATTGGTAGTCCTGGTATTTGATGGATTTTAGAAGGGTTTTGGTAAGTTTTCTTCATGTAGACAGCATGGCCTATAGGGATAGATGGAAGTAAATTGCTATTGTGCAACAAAACTGCCTTGAAGGATAGCTTTGATGAATCTATGCATGGCCTCTATTCAGAAGGGTTGTGATTGAGATTTAATGCTGTCATCAGACCTGGGACATCACAACAGGCAACAAGGCTCTCATACTTTTTGAAAAAGGGGATCAAGTCTTTCTGATAATTTTTGTATATTGTAATCTTTACACCCGGTTGTAAAATGTTCCATTGCTTCAATATTGAGCCCAAAAGTTCAGCTTGAGTAAGCAAGTGGGGTTTTCGTTCTTCTTGTTAGAAGTAAAGAAAAATCATTATCATCTGATAGGTTTCCTCCTAGGGGATTCCCCTCTTCATTATCCTCGTCCCCGTGTGGTATTGGCCATCCAGCAGAAGGAATGTCAGGGTACTTCACTTTAGATTTTTTTTTTTTTCCGAGACATTCCATGATGAAAAGGAGGGAGGGGTCATTCAAAAGTAGCAGTTGTCAGTGAGATTAGTAGGCTCCTCCACACCGTGGGAACAGCAAAACGCATTGAACGATATTTGTTGTTCAACCATTCTCTTAAAGTTACGCTACATGTGATGTAGCAGATGTGCGGGGTCCAGAGTTTATCTTGATCACCAACCTTCACTCCAAAATACTTGTAGTATGCTGTCTTGATCACCTAGGTGATAAGGCGTTTTTGACTTGGAAAGTTTACTTCTTTCAAATATAACAAAAGTTGTCAGGAACATTTACACACTTCCTGGGCATTGTAACTTCACCTAAACTACTGGGTTATCACGATAAAATTGTTGAAAGAATGCCTAGTTGTTTCCCGCGATTCACAGACAGAAATCAATCTTACCAACACAGGAGCAATACATTTCCCCGTATTATGCAAAAAGTAACTATATCTTTGAAACTAGACCTAACTGATGATTTTTGTGTGGAAATTCAAATTTCTCACACCTAAAAACATGGAATGAGGCTGTTTTGAAGTGAGATACAATATCAATGTAGAGCAGTGTTACCAATGCCAATATTAATCTCTAAATCTTAAAAACTAATTTATTTATATTTTTAGGTTGTAATGGCAATTGTATCAACAGCAAAAAGAGACTTTGAAGTTGTGTCTAAAAGTGAAGATCTACTGGAGTTTGTGAAAGAGAGAACTTTAGACAAAAAGGTGCTAGAATCATCAAATTTATTGAGTTGTTTCAGAACCACCTGTTAAAAACATGATCATTCGATATATTTTCACTCATTTTAATGTATATTTCTCTCTCTCTCTCTCTCTCTCTCTCTCTCTCTCTCTCTCTCTCTCTCTCTCTCTCTCTCTCTCTCTCTCTCTCATGTTCATATTTCAGCTATATAAACTTTTATAATGAACTTAATTTTTTTTTTTTACCCAGTTTAAGATCAGGAAAGAGGCAATGTCTGGTCTTGCAATGATCTATAAAAAACATTTAAATGATGCTGATGTCCCCCAGGCAACTAAAAAAGCTGTTACATGGATAAAAGACAAGATTCTTCATGGATATTACATGACTAGTATGGAAGACAGGTACATTTGAAATTTTATTGTATGTTAGTATTCGTAGTAGTGTTTACTCTGTATTTTGGCATTTTTTTTTTTTAACGTTTTACTTTTTTTGTTTATCTTTTCGCTTGAAATAATTCCTATTACTAAAATATCGAGGAGAGATTCCGATATCAAATAATTTATCAGACTCCTGATCTTCATTTCAGGCATACAGTGACTCACAAAATTGTTGCAATGATAGCCTATATTAATAAAATAAAATTAATATTTTGAACCATGAGTGAAGGTATACATACATATATATACATTAAGCAACTTCAAGCATGGTTAGTACTTGGATGGGTGACCACTCGATTTGGGTGACTTTCCACCAAGTGAAGCGATGTTGCTCAAGATTCCTCTTCCCCCCTCCGGGTATATAAGCCCCGCCAGACTACTGGAGGCAACTCGCACCGACTAGGCTTACGACTAATAACCCTATCCCTTGTACTTAAATTGGTAATCGGTGTGTGGTCTATTAAGATGTCAATAGCCTCCCTGAGGTTTGCTCCATGGACAGTATATTTTGGGGGAAAAAAATATAGGTCCTCGTGTGTCTGCTAACTTTTAGCACCCATAATTCCTGCTTCTAGACCATTCTGCCACTGTCCTTGAACCCGAATGAGTCGGTGGGAAGGACACTCTCAGATTTGTCCCAAAGGGTCAGCCTATGGAGATACAAGTGGCCTGCTGCTGCATGCACTATGGAGACCATGGTTCGTAGCAATTTAAGGTTGGATGACTCCCTTCAGGCTATCTATGCTCCTGCAAGCTATATACGTCTGTAAGGAGACCATATCTCGTGGCCAAAGATCTTCATGGTCTGTAGCGCCAACCGAAAAAAAAACAAAAAAAAAAAACATAGATATACATACATATATGTGTGTAACAAAAATTTTTTAATTAAGAATTGGTGACAAAATAACTTGATTAAGGCATTAAAAAAAATTGGTAAAGTCAATTTTTTTTACAAAAAAAATTTCAATTTGAAAATCAAGCGTCGTTTGTAATTAAACGGTCAACAATAATTCAAAACGTGCTGAAATAAAACATCTGGAGAATACATTTCTCTTTCTAAAACACTGATTACTTTTTAAAATATTTGAAGTAGTTCCGTATAAAATGTATTTAAGCGGCAGAAAAGCGCTACTGGCGTGGGTGCCTACAGGCCTCTACCACACCACTCAGTACTCATAAATGGATTAGTTATAGTTCTATAACAACGTTTTTGTTATATTTTATTGATTATATTAACGAATAAATATTAATACAATAATTTAATTGTAAAAAATTATTTTTTTTTAAATTTATTATTTTTGTTTTTATTTTTCATTATTATTTTTTTTTTATTTAACTTAATTTATTCTATACGGAGATCGCTTAAGAAGGCCTCTATTATAAAAATTATAATAATAAAACTTAATTCAAAAATACTTTGCAGAATATCTTGATTTTTTTATTTAATATTTGCAATTTAACATTTTGTTTTATATATTTACTGATTCTTAGAGGTAATTTAAATTGTATATACTTCCCCGGTAATGAGTCATATTAATATCTGTTTTATAAACTAAAATAATATATACCTAATCTGAACTGCTTTTAATGAATAGGTGATGGATTGTTTAGTAAAATTGTTATATCGCTATTAAAAAAACCATTTTTGTTTCCTTTATTTCGGAAGTTGGACCATATCATAAAAAATAGGAACTTTTAATATTAAAGTGCATTATTCCCTCTGCACAAAAGAAATATGGAAAGGGCGAAGCTATAAGTTCTTCTAGGTAACTGGAACTGATTGTTAGTATTTGGTCTCAAAATGAGGGAAAACGTGAAATTGAACCCAAAAATTGGAAAAATACATTAAGGGAACGACAAAGGAAGTGCAAAAATTTCGGAAAAGAAAACAAGGATCAGTATCCATTATATGGCTAAACGAATATATAGTAGACAAATGAACAGAATATTTCAAGATGCTGCTAAAAGGAGGTAAAAATGCTTGATGGGTTTGGATGATGTTAAGCAGGTTTATTACAGTGAAGAACACTTTATCAGCAAGAAAGATTTGTTCTAAGCAATTGGCAAGCAGGTCCGGAGGAAGTAAACCAGGTTGACAATGGTGTAAACCACTTTATTTTAGATTGCTTAGAAGTTACATTGGGACTATCTTCACTTTGCAGCAGGTTATACAGAGGTCTATCGATTAAAGGAAATAGTTCTGCTCCTCTTTAGTGCAATTGCAAAAGATTTTTGAAGGAATCTGAAAGGAAAACGAGCTTTTGTGAAAGACTGGTAGATATTCGATCAATCCAAAGTGTGAGGCACTAAGCAGATAGAGAACCATTTTTCTTTCTCTGTGGACTTCTCTATAACCTACCTTAAAGTGAAGACAGTCCCAATTTGCAACTTATGTTCCAATGTGCAACTTGAGTTTCTCAATCCATATCGCTCAGGCAATCGACAATATTTCTAATTTTAGCTTATACGATTCTTTGGTACTATAAACAGTAAGGAATGTCAAATAACATTAACTAGTATCTCATTTCCTATAAAGGGACTAAACTACAGTCCTTTCATATAATTTTCTAATACATTTGTAGCCTTTGTACGCACAGCATTTCGGGTTACTTCTTCCAACTTGCCAATTGCCTAGAACAAATCTTTCTTGCTGATGAAATGGTCTTCACCATAATAAACCTGCTTAATATCATCCAAACTGATCAAGCATTTTTACCCCATTTAGCAGAATCTTGAAATATTCTGTTCATTTGTCTACTATATATTCGTTTAGCCATATAATGGATACTGATCCTTGTTTTCTTTTCCGAAATTTTGGCACTTCTTGTCGTTCGCTTAATGTATTTTTCCAATGTTTGGGTTCAATTTCGCGTTTTCCCTCATTTTGAGACCAAATACTAACAATCAGTTCCAGTTACCTAGAAGAACTTATAGCTTCGCCCTTTCCATATTTCTTTTGTGCAGAGGGAATAATGCACTTTAATATTAAAAGTTCCTATTTTTTATGATATGGTCCAACTTCCGAATAAAATAAAGGAAATAAAAATGGTTTTTTTAATAGCGATATAACAATTTTACTAAACAATCCATCACCTATTCATTAAAAGCAGTTCAGATTAGGTATATATTATTTTAGTTTATAAAACAGATATTAATATGACTCATTTCCGGGGAAGTATATACAATTTAAATTACCTCTAAGAATCAGTAAATATATAAAACAAAATGTTAAATTGCAAATATTAAATAAAAAAATCAAGATATTCTGCAAAGTATTTTTGAATTAAGTTTTATTATTATAATTTTATAATTTTTATAATAGAGGCCTTCTTAAGCGATCTCCGTATAGAATAAATGAAGTTAAATTAAAAAAAAATAATAATGAAAAATAAAAACAAAAATAATAAATTTAAAAAAAATAATTTTTTACAATTAAATTATTGTATTAATATTTGTTCGTTAATATAATCAATAAAATATAACAAAAACGTTATTATAGCACTATAACTAAGCCATTTATGAGTACTGAGTGGTGTGGTAGAGGCCTGTAGGCACCCACGCCAGTAGCGCTTTTCTGCCGCTTAAGTACATTTTATACGGAACTACTTCAAATATTTTAAAAAGTAATCAGTGTTTTAGAAAGAGAAATGTATTCTCCAGATGTTTTATTTCAGCACGTTTTGCATTATTGTTGACCGTTTAATTACAAACGACGCTTGATTTTCAACTTGAAAATTTTTTTGTAAAAAAAATTGACTTTACCGATTTTTTTTAATGCCTAAGCCAATTAGTTTTTAATATTTTTTCATGTTTTATTATTCTCTGACTATCCAGCTTTAATAAAAGACCAACTATAATGAAATTAAGCCAAATGCTGATTCTCAGTAACAAAAAAACTAACTAAAGTCAAAGTCGTCAATCCGCCATGTTTGGACGCCATTTTGGGGCAGTTCGTTCACTTTTTTTTGTGGGAACATTGGCTTTTTTTTAATAAATTGTCACAAGGAACACAACGATATGCAATTTATAGGGATGTGGGGGGGGGGGGTGCACGGTAAGGGGGTTTGGCCCACCGTGTAATATCTGTTACTCTTCATGTAGGCAGTCTTTTTTTTTCATTTAAACCAAAGAATTTAATTACTACTTCAGTTGATGTCAAACTATTAACTGAAGTAGTTATTTAATTCTCAACAGTGATTCAATTTGAGTAAAATGCTTGGTACTTGGTACTGTATACCATTGACAGTCTCTATTATATTTAACAATTTTATTTATAGAGTAGCTTTTGGTGTCCGTGCAATATATCCATCTCTATAATTATAACACTTCAATTAGGATGTATACATACACCATACATGTATTAAATAATTTTTTAATTGGCATGCTGTTATTATCACTTCATGCCATTCCTTTTTCTATTTTTGTGTATTTAAAAACATAAAGGATTAGAACAGAGTTCTTGTTCTTCATCTTACGTCAACTCTGAAAGGAGTTTAGGTTAAAAATTTTGTGTTTAAATGAATAAATATTTTAAATTAAAATGTATGGCATGAAGTGATAATAATTGCATGGCAATTAAAAAATTATGTAATACATGTATTGTTAATGTCATTAATTAACTATTAATTTATCCTAATTAAAGTGTTATAATTATAGAGATGGATGTGGTATGGTGCCTGGACAGCGAAAGCTACTCTGCAAATAAAGTTGTAAAATAGAGATTGTCAATGGTAAAAAGAATCCTGATTTTATTATTTATTTAAACAACTACAATGGAATTTTATATCAAAATACAGTTATGACATTACTTATGGAAAAATAATTTGCTGAAGAATCATATTCAGAAGGAATTGGCTCCAACTGGGGCTTAAGAAGTTGCAATATTTTTGCTTTATATCGATCAATTTTATCTGGTACAGAGGACCCTCCTCCAATTTTGTAGAACTCAGCTTAAACATATCACAATCTTATATTTATAATAATTATAATTGTACTTACATTTACATTATTTAACTACAATAAGCATTCACTTTCTAAAAACAAAACTAACTTCACTTTCACTACTATCATTCTAACCCCCTCACTTGTGTTTAATGTGAAAAATTTTTATACACCTACATTGTCCTTTTTCAATTTTCCCTTAAAATTCATATAGGCTGGCTTCAGTTGAGCAGATGATCTAAAGCCATTGTTGGCGGCATTAAATTCTTCTGCTACCTGCATCCATGCAGAATTTTTGTCTTTGATAGTTAACCCATCAGTTTTTTTTGTTTTCTATTATTCTAAAATACTGAGACATAGAAAACAATGACTGCTTTTCAGTTTCTGTAAAATCACTCCCTCTTTCTCTTTTTTCAATCTTCTTTAACTATTTAACAATATCACGCACGCTTCACAATGTTTGCACCTAAGTCAATGGAAGGTTTCATAATATAAACCAAGTTACAAAAATCACCGCTTCTTTTTAAAATATGATGACGTCTTACGCTGGCACCATGTTGACTAACTCTATTTAAAAATGATTTGGTGCAACTGGACTCAAATTTTATCATTGGTTAAGTTTAAACATGAGTTAGATAACAGAAAATATTAACTTAAATCACGAATGTCGGTGCAACCGGCCCTAAATAGTTTAACAATGAAGAAATGTCAATTACTTAAATTGAATATTTCTTTAGTTATAACTTCCTATTCAACAAAAAAGATGATTTACTTAAAAATACACAAAACTTGGATTTCCTACTTTTCTGTTGAAAATTGGCCCATTGTTTATATGAACTTTTTCGTACCGCTTGAGGCCTGCTATCATTCCTATAAAAATTTCTCTCTACTTATGGGTCACCCTCTATAAAATTATAAATTACAAAATTGTACATATATGTATTTTTTTTTTTCATGATTTTAGAATCCTGGTTGAGAGGCTTCTTAACACTAGCCTGGTTCCATTTAATCTACCTCCTGAAGAACGAATGAAAAAACTTTATCATTTGCTGGGAACAATCGATGACAATGCAAATAAGGCCTTTCTAGAACTTCAAAGACATCAATTGTTGTATGTACTAATAAGATTATTTACTTTTGTCTATTTGTTATCATTTAATTAAGATATTAAATTTGACAAATGAAGAATAAACCAAATTATCCTAAATGGATTTTCAATTTTTCTTTTCTATTGTGTTAACAAAATACCAAACCGTCATTGATTTTCTTAAGGTAAAACTCAGTTAACAAAATACCAAACCATCATGAATTTTCTTAAGGTAAAACCCATTATCTAGAAGTAAACTAGTTCCCCTGTCCTGGTCTCTGGGAGGGGAAGGGGGGAGGACTGCTTTGGGGAATTCATTGTGTAAGTTATAAACTAGAGATTTAAGTATAGAGGACGTGAAATGTTAGAAGTTAAATACAGCAGTCACTTAAATCGGTCACAAAAAATGGATACAATTTAGATATTATGGCATTGCAAGAGGTTTGCTGGCCAGGGGAGTGATTCATAAGGGAAGGTAAGTACTCTATTTGATACGGAGAAAGCAGAAATGGTTTAGTTACGGTTTTCTTATTAGGAATAGTTTTCTACCCACTTAAAGGGACATACTTCTTTATATAGTTATATTTTTTATTAATTAGCTCCTGATTATATTTTAGCTTCGTGAAACAGAAATTAGTTATATATATATGCCTATACGCTGAAATTGCACATTAATTATATTTTAATTAATCAATTTAATTCAATTAATTAATTAATCACTAATTAATCAAATTAATTATATTTTAAAAGTACTAGAGATGCCGGATCACCGTTTAGATAGACAGGAAATAACTTTATTCTGGGAAACAGTCCCTTGAGAATAACAAAATAGAACAAAATTAAAAGATTACATCTGGCCTAAATAAAATAAATAGAAAAAAAGAAATAATGTTAAGAAAATATTAGGTAAACATTCTATATACAAAACAAACGAAATTATATACAAAACAATTAACACTATGACAAGATACTTAAGGCTATTTGCACTGATAGATCAGTATACACTTTTAAGAAAAGAATAAAGAAAAAAAAAATATTAAATTCTTCATTAAAATAGTAGTTTACTCCGTATCCTGTCAAAAGAAGTTATAAATAAGAAGTTTTTTGGTACCAGAAGTGGGTGAATTCTAGGAATGCTATCAAATTAATCTCGATATTGCAAATGTCACTGGTCTACGTATAAAGTTATCCATAATTAAACATGAGATAAATGAAGCAGAAAAAAAAAATAATTTTGAAAAATGCCAACAGTTGAGTTTTTCTACATATGCAGGCTTATGTGTGGTCGGGACAGTATCACCCTATTCGAATGATTGTTTTGGTATTGAAGCGATACAGTACATATTTCCGGTGTGGGATAGAATTTCTTAATTTAAGCGTTATACCATGGACAGCTACAACTGCCTGATATGTAACTCCAGAGAAAAAGAGGACACCATACATTTCTTGATGGTTTGTCTTAACCATACCGAGATCAGGGAAAAATGTTTTGGCCAACAAATCTGTTCTCCTGAAGAAATATTTGGTTCACTGAAAGGTAACAACTGGAAAGCCCTAAGTAATTATATAAAGCTTGCCACATTGCGAAGATTCCAACTAGTCAGTGTTTAAACGATTAGTGGCTCACCTTGCTAACTGTTGTGTATTATAATATTTATTTGTTATCATTATATTATTTATTATAGCTTGTGCGTTTATTGATTATTTTTAAAAAGTTTGTTTTAAGAATTGAGACAATGAAAACGAAGTTGAAACATGTAATTTGTATAAATTGGATTTGGCAGTTACTGCATTTAGGATATATATATAATGAAATATGTTTTGTGAGAATAACACACAGACCGTGACAGATGGAATTTTCCATTGTCTATGTGTTCTAAGAATGTAATATCGATAATATATTTTGTAAATTATCTATGTCAATAAACGCATTTTCATTCATTCAACTAAAAAATATTTTTTTATTGATTTTTTTTATTTCTTAATGATATTTACGACTGTATTAAAGAAATACATCTAGTAAATTATTATTTGGATATAATGAGGTGAAACACTTGCTGAGTAACTACCCAATGGTAGCACTCTAATGATATGTCTACATTAGGAGATCACGGGGCCATCTTCTTTTCAGACGCCTCGGAGGATTATCAGGAATTGAAGAGGAAGCAAGGTTGTGATAATTCAGAAGTTTATTATAGAAGGATAGGTATCTGGATTGGGCCAGATCTGAAACATAAGAAACATTAAGGTCATTATGGATGGTTTTATTTGTAACAAAGTAGGAGGCATTAACGATTTTATGAAGGATTTTGGATTGTAAGGATTGGATACGAGAGGAATTCGATGGCTTAGTGGAGCCCCATAGCTCAACTCCATAAGTCCAAATAGGCCTTATTATAGTCATGTATATGAGTCTTTTGTAATTAATTGGAAGTTTAGAGCATTTTTTGTCTAGTAAGTGCTGAAGTAATCGGCAATTTCTTGTCGTTTCAATCTGGTGTGTAAAAATATTAAACTTGGATAATTACCAACTGCTTCTTAGTAAAATAGACAAAATTTTATTGATCTAGTTAACAGTGAAGCAATTCTTAATTAAGTTAATTAAATATTTCTTTAGTTATCGCTTCCTATTCAATAAAAAACATGACACTTAAAAAACTCAAAACTTAAATTTCCTACTTCATAAACTAATAAAATTACATATAATTTTTTTTTTAGCTTTTGAGGTCTCCTATCACTCCTGTAAATATTCTCTACTACTTACGCGACACTCTGTATATATAGCTGTGGAGCACTTAGCTTACTCTTTAAATTTTAAGATACCTATTAACTGATAAAGGTATTTTTTGAAAAATATTTTCTTTTATTTGTAGCGCAAGGAAAGCAGTAATGGAATGGTTGGAAATACACAGGAAGCCTGAATCTCCTGAGAGAGCAAAGGAAATAATGCACAAGATTGCCCATATAGCAAAGTTCTTGCCAGATCAAGTAAAGGCCCAGGAATTCCTTCTAAAATTTTCTCAGGACATGCTAGCTGACAAGTCACTAATGATCGGTATGAAATCAGTAATAGATAAATTTTAATTATGCTTTTGAAATGAAAATAACTTTATTATTCTCGGACTGCTGTCCCTTTAGAACAAATTATAAATGCAGAATATAAATAAACATATTATATTAGTGTGTCCATATTTTAAATTAAATATTTACAAGGTAATTGGTAAAATTAAGTAAAAATACAGGTAATAAAAAGAAATAAATAAAAAATAATCAGAGAAAGATAAAATAGAATAAATAAATAGTATCTGGGTGTACTTAAAGAGTCTTACGACTTAGACTCTTTCGTGCATTTCATGACCACATGGATTGGGAATGGAATAGGTGCTTAAAAAGGAGACTGACTTTGAGTGTCGAATATCGGAAGTGATAGAATTCCAGAGGGAGACGGCTTGAATTACGAAAGATATCTCTGTGAGCATCAATGATGCTATGTAGCAACACATGAGTTGCAAACAATAATTTGAGGATCAATGTTGAGAAACCAAACATCTTCCTAATTTCCTTACTCTTCTTCAATCACCTACCTATCCACTTTCACACTTCTGTTTGAAACTTAAAAATTCTTTTTGATCAGTTCCTATTCTGGAATTATCATATTTCCCTAATCGCCCAAAAATCCATTGCAATCAGTTCCTAAAATTCTATGCCTCTTGAAACTGGTCAGCGCCTTGTTTCCTCTCATTTCCCCCACTTTGATTATGGCTGCCTGGTTTATGGTAGACTGAGTAGGTATGGGTTGAGACTGAAAAGATTAACAGACAGTTTCGTTGGATTTGTCTTCAGACTCCCTAAGTGCTCTCCAGTTGGTATGCCGAATAAAACTAACTGTATCCTATTTTCCAAAGACAACATTTCTTAGAAATTTCTGCTTTCTGATTCTTTTGAACCAAAAAGTCTCCTTACAATCCAAAAAGCCTACTTAATTCATTCATCCCTTGTTCTTCTGCCCCCTCTCTTACTCTCTCCCCTCTTTCCCCCAATCTCTCTCTCACACACACACACACACACACACACTATAAACTTTTGAGCTACGACCTTAGGGATTTTAAAAAGGTTATTTTGTTTTATTTTATCAACTTTCAAATATTGTAGCCAACTTCGTGTTTATTTAATTTTGAAGAGATATTGAGGCTGGATGGTCAAAAAGTGTTATGATAGTAATATCAATACGAATGACTACCAAATATTTTTTGTCTTGGGTTTTATGTCTTATTCATAAGAATGAGTTACCTACCACTGATAACATTTATTATTGCTTCTCCAACAATAATACATAATATTATGTAATATCGTTCTTATATACTTATTTACAAATGAAGTGGATCATTCAAAGTTACATGAAAAAACACTAAATTCTTATTTAGTGATTTAAATTTTTAAAAGGTAATTTACTTTTACATATTTAGAAGTAATCAAGAAAATTTGTTAAAATAATACCGTTTACATTGTTTTTTTGGGGAGGGGGGGTTCAGAAATTAAAAGTTAAATTAAGCAAATTTTGAAGAAGTTTATTAATTTTTTTGTTTTAGTACTTTGTTGGTTCACCACGAGCATTAATTACTGCTTGAAGAAAAAAGATACTTGAGAGACCATCTCCCATTTCTCTTAAAATGCTTTGTGTAATGCATCCACAGTTTGTGGAAGAGTATTATGTTCTGAAATCCGTCTTTTAAGTTGATCTCATAAATGTTTAAATGGATTTAGGTCTGGAGAGCAAGCAGGCCAATTCAGGGGGCTAATTTCTTGATTTTAGAAGAATGCATTTACGAGTCTAGCTCTATGAAGTTTAACATTGTCATCCACAAAACAAATTCTTGGCCGATTGCTTCTGCCGTTGGTTATACTATTGGTGGTAAGACCCTGTCCAATTAACACTGAGCAGTCATAGTCTCATTTCATAACACCACAAGCTGTTTGAGTTCCCAAAGATATACTATCCCACATTATAATTGAGCCTCCTCCAAGCAGGGAAGAATTGTATCATTCAACGACCTTCTGTTAACTCTTGCTCGATTTGAACACATTTAGGATCATCTGTGAAAAGGTAATTATCACAGGTATGATCAGTCCATGATATATGAATCCGAACGAATCAAAGTCTTTAAGCTTTATCTTGTGGGGTGAGTCCTTGACAGCGCTGAGAAATTCACTAGTGCAATTCATCCTTATTTTGACTGTTTGAAGGTTAATTTGTTCATTAGAGGCAGAAAACCAATTATCAGCTAGCCTTCGGTAAGTGTTTTTGTAGATCTTTGACATCCTCCTCCATTTATAGCATTTCCAAGTCAATTTCAACCTTTTCCAAGTCAAATTCAACCTTTTCCAAATCAAATTAAACTTTTTCCAGGTCAAATTCAACCTTTTCCATTTCAAATTAAACCTTTTCCGTTTCAAATTAAACCTTTTTTTATTTATTTAATTATTTTAATTTTTCGATGTGTACGTCTGTTATCGTATTAGTAGTTTTTGAAAATAACCTCCATTTTAAGATTATGTGACTGCATTTCGAATTATTTAAGTTTTTTTTTATTTATTCAATATAAGGGTGTATTTTTATGTTTCTCGATCCGTAAATTTTGAAAATGACCTCCATTTTATGTTTACGCCACTGTGTTTTGACTTATATAAAGTTTTTAGAATTTATCCAATATAAAAGTCTACTTTTATGTTTCCGGAGCCGTAGATTTTGAAAACTACCTCCATTTTAAGATTATGCCACCGCGTTTCGACTTATTTAAGTTTTTCAAATTTATCCAATTTAAAGGTCTACTTTTATGTTTCCAGCGCCGTAGATTTTGAAAATTACCTCCATTTCATGATTACGCCATTGCATTTTGACTTATTTAAGTATTTCGAATTTATCCAATTTAAAGGTCTACTTTTATGTTTTCGGAAGCGTAGATTCTGAAAATGACCTCTATTTTATGATTACGCCACTGTGTTTCATCTTATTTAAGTTTTTTGAATTTATCAAGTATGAAGGTCTACTTTTATGTTTCTGGAGCAGTAGATTTTTAAAATGACCCCATTTTAAGTTAATGCCACTGTTTTGGATTATAAAAGTTTTTTTTTTACTTTTTCGGTATAAGGAGCTACTTATATGTTATCGGAAACGTAGTGAAATTTTTCTAATCTTTAATATTTAAATGTATCTATATATTTAACCTACCATATTCAGATTTTTCAGCTAGTGGTCGAAATCCTAATCTAAAAATGGAGGTCGTTTTCAAAATCTATGACTCCGGAAACATAAGAATACTACCTTTTATGAAAAAAATTCGAAACGCGGTGGCCTAATCTTAAAATGGAGGTCGTTTTCAAAATCTAAGACTCCGAAAACATAAGAGTACTACCTTTTATGAAAAAAATTCGAAACGCGGTGGCCTAATCTTAAAATGGAGGTCGTTTTCAAAATCTACGGCTCCGGAAACATAAAAGTAGACCTTTATATTGGATAAATTGAAAACACTTAAATAAGTCAAAATGCTGTGGCCTGATCATAAAATGGAGCATATTTTCAAAATTTATGGCTCGGAAAACATAAGAATACTCCCTTATATGAAAAAAATTCGAAACACTCAAAGAAATCGAAACGCGGTGGCCTAATCTTAAAATGGAGGTCGTTTTCAAAATCTACGGCTCCGGAAACATAAGAATACACCCTTATGTGAAAAAATCCGAAAAACTTAAATAAGTCAAAACGCTGTGGCGTAATCTTAAAATGGAGGTCATTTTCAAAATCTACGACTCCGAAAACATAAGAATACTACCTTTTATGAAAAAAATTCAAAACACTTAAAGAAATTGAAACACGGTGGCCTAATCTTAAAATGGAGGGCGTTTTCAAAATTTACGGCTCCGGAAACATAAAAGTAGACCTTTATATCTTTATAGTAGAGCTCATTTTCAAAATTTATGGCTCGGAAAACATAAGAATACACCCTTGTATCGAATAAATAAAAAAAACTTAAATAAGTCGAAACGCAGTTGTGTAATCTTAAAATGGAGTTTATTTTAAAAACTAGGTACAGAACAGCATACTACTAGTCCCTAATAAATCCAAATAGGTACAATAAATCAATATCCGTAAGTGAAAATTTGAAATGGAAATGGTTGAATTTGAAATAGTTTAGTTTGATCTGGAAAAAGTTGAATTTGACTTGGAAATAATTGAATATGATATAGAAATATTACACTAAAAAAATCTAAAATGTTAAAACAAATGGATATGCAACCGCATTATCAATTTTTTTTTTTTTTGTATTTTTCAAAAGCTATGCCTTCGATAGTCTAGTAAGTGAGCTTCATTTAGAAAAAAATCAAAAATTGACAAAAATTCGAAAGTTGAATTTGAAATGGAAAAGGTTGAATTTGACTTGGAAAAGATTTAATTTGACTTGGAAAAGGTTGAAATTGACTTGGAAATGCTATATATATTCAGAGGAACCATTATCCTGGTAACTTCTCCAGGCGCCACTTACTACACTTGGTGAGGTTATAGCTTTGCTGCCAAATTTCTCTGGGTATCAAATCTGTTTCAAGCTCTATTGCTGCAAGACGTCGTGCAGACATTCTTTAATATCCAGAAGAACTTTAAAAAGGGTCAGTAAAAAGTATTAAAAACGGTTAGTGGAAAAAAATGGATTTTCAAGAAATATAGTGAAGTGAGCACAAGCTTTAAATGAACTAAACTGACAATAATCCCCTTTTTTGTTTATATTTGAGAGTTTATTTCAAAGGAATTAGCCCTGCGAATAAAAACAATCAACAGATGTCAAATTGGAAAATATTGGTTCCTAGCAATTTTATAAAAAATTACTGCAATTATCCATTTCCTTTGCAAATGAGTATATATAGAGAAGTTTGCATATTGGTAAAACTATGTATAACACTTGTTGCTTGTAAAGCTTTTCAAATCTTTTATTTAAAAGTTCTGTTGATTTTGCCAAAAAGTCAATAGCAAAAAATGACTATTTTTATCTACTTAAGCAAATG